CGCCACCAGGTCCCCCTACTGGCCCCCCTCCAGGCCCCCCTCCAGGCCCCCCTCCAGGTCACCCTCCAGGGCACCCTCCAGGTCCCCCTCCAGGTCACCCTCCAGGCCCCCCTCCAGGCCCCCCTCCAGGTCACCCTCCAGGGCACCCTCCAGGTCACCCGGGCTGGCGGCAGAGAACAAGACGCCTGCAGCCCCAGGGCCCACGGAATGGTTCCGACGGCCCACCACGGGCCTGCCCCGCCCAGCTGCCCAGAAAGCCACCAAGGCTCTCCCCTGGCTCCCCCCTCCTGCCAGGCCTGGCGCTGCCCGTGGCCCTGCCCGGTGGCCCTGCAGGCTCACCACCCCTGAAAATGAATGACCCTAATGGGAAGAGGGGCAGAAAGCTGGGGCTTGCTCTTCCCTGTGGACCCCCTGACCCCGACTCRACGCCGACCCGACTCCACACAGAGGGGGCTCCAGCTCAGCCGCCCGGGGCCTGCCCTCGTGGGTACAAATGCTGAGCAGGGGGCCCCACGGACGCGCCGCCCAGCCAGCCGCAGCGCCACGGCACAGGAGGGAAGGGACCTCTCTGTGCTTACCCCAGGGACCAGGGGACAGGTGGACTCCCAGGGCCCAGAGACACCAGGCGGGTGAGTCTACTCACGTCAGATGCAGCCACCTGACCCAAGACACAGGAAGGGGGACACCTCAAACTGCACCCGGGACACCGTGTCACCTCGTCCTGGGCCCTCGGGCTACACGTCACAGCCTCTGCCCAGGACCTTGCCAAGGGACAGCTCCCACCCCAGGGAACGTGTCCTGACTCGGCCCAGAGACCCCCTGCCACAGCGCCTCCTCTCCCCGGCTCTCCTCAGGGCCTTTGCTCCGACCCTCACTCGGGGCCCAGCCCAGCAGGGAGCTGACCACCCAGTGCCCCTGCACTTGAACCGACTCCTTGATGTCCCCTTTAAATCTTTGGCTTCTCCATTGTCTGCTCTGACCTGAGCATCAAGAGAGCCACTGGTTAGATGCCAGCAATTAAGGTGGGCACAGGGTGGCCACGGTCAGGGCTCCAGGTGAAACTAGAGGTCCTCGGTGAGGTCAGGCGGGAGGACACAGCTGGGCCGTGTGTCCCCGAATCCCTCCGGWGTGTGGAAAGACAAACGCACCAGCCCGTGGCCAGGACAGCCACAGCCCTCGGGGAGTCTGACCGAGGCCAGAGCCACCCACCCAGGCCGCTTCCAGGCCAGGACACCCCTGACCGCAGCGGGACCCCCGTACCTAGCTGCGTGTCTTCAGGGTGAATGTCCACCGAGGCTGGGTGCATCGGAGAGTTGATGGCACTTTTGCCTTCCTCCTGCAGGTCACTCACTGTTGAGGGAAGAAAGAAAGAAAGGCCTGGTCAGCAGGAATGGACCGGCACGGCCCCGGCGCCCACCGTGGAGGGGAGGGAAGCTGGCCGACCMGCCACCAACATCAGCCAATGCTCCCACGGGGCCCACGGCATCCGAGGGAGAAGGTCCCGACCCAGACGCATCCCGCACTCCCCCGACACCGGTCAGCTCCCGGCTGCCACAGAGCCCGGCCCGTCTGTGTGGGCTGCTCCCTGGAGCCCGTGACTAAAGCACAGAAGCTTCTGGATGCTTCCAGATGTTTCCAGGGGCTTCTGGACCTGCCCGGAGCTGCTGGGGCAGCGCTTGGACAGCGGCATCAGGGCCCCTGGAGGCAGAGCCRTCCCCGTCCCCACTTGGAGGGCCCTGTGCTGTGCCGCCAGATGACAGCACGTTCTTCCACGGTCCAACCGTGGACGTCACCCCAGCTGCACTTCGATGGCAGGCTCCAGCCCAAGACCCGGAGTCGGGGGGCGTGGGGTGCAGTCTGGGCACCCGCCATCTTTACAGCAGAGGGCCTCTGGGATCCTGGAGTCCCTCATCTCACATCATCTTCTCCACTGACCGCCTCCAGGGACAGCGCCGGCCACTCTGCCCAAAGCCCCTGCTTCCTGAAGGAGCGTAGCCGGAGTAAGAGCCCCTGCCTCAGACCTCGAGCCTCTCAGACGTGGAGACTCTGGGCTCCTGGCCTCCCGGCGACCGGCGACACGTGACCCTGGGATGACGGCTCTGGGCCCCGCCCTGGCCGCCACAGGACCCCACGCCAGTGCCACCAGCCTCTCGGTCTCCTCACATGGCACTTTCAAATAAAACTGTCCAAATGCCCGGCCCCCAACCCTCCCGGGCTGCAGGACATGGTGGGCGTCAAGTCCCGGCCAAGGGCCAGGCCGGGCCAGCTGCAGGCCCCCGTGGGCCCCCCGTGGGGCAGATGCGGCTCCGGCCTGGGACAGCCGGCAGCAGGGAGGGGCCTCTGAAGTCGGGCCCTGGGGGGAACCGTGGGGCCGCCACTGCCCGGCGTCCAGCGTCCAGGTGAGGACCACAGCAGAGCGCCGTGAGGTGGAGGAAGGCACCAGCACACCTCACGGGCTGCTGGCCTCCTGGTRTCCGCCCAGGAGTGAGGGGAGGGGGTCCCAGACCTCCCTGAGGYGCCCCCCGGGTCTTTCTTTGGGAAACAGGATGCCTGGGGGTTTGCAGCCCTGGGACCCACCCCCTGCCCCTCTCAGGGATGACGGCAGCGGAGCCCCAGGACGCTGGCCCCTCTCACGTCAGCACAGGCCCAGACACTTGGTTTTTGGGAACTGGCCCCTCCTACACCCCCGTCCCCAGCAGCACGGTTCATAACAGCAGGTGAAGATGGCCCCAGGTGCAGACAAACGCACAGTGAGCAAGGTGCAGGGGATCCCCACAGAGGAGTACTATTCAGCCTTGAACAGGAGGGGATCCCCACACCAGCCACTACAGGGTGCGCCTYGAGGACACGAGGAACATAACCAGTGGAACCTAACCCAGGCACAAGACAGATGCCGTGGCCGGAGTCCCCCCACGTGAGGCCCACGAGGAGACCCAAGAAGGAACAGAAGGGCGCTGCCAGGGGCCGGGGCAGGTGCCCACACGGGCTCCTCTTGGACGGCACTGAATCTGTTTGGGAAGAYGGAACAGTCCTGGAGGAGGACAGCGGTGACGGCACCAGGATGGGCGCCAACTTGACGCCCCGCACGGGGCATTCGGAACGCTCGGGGCTGGGCGGCTCGGTGGCACCTCTGGCTCCAGGCCAAGGCCGCGCGCTCCATCCCCAGCAGCCATCCGAGCCGGGAAGGCAGGCGTCACGTTGTGTTTTATCAAGTATCTAAAGGGGCCGCTCCGGGGGTGGCCGACGCTGCAGTCTGGAGGCCGCCTGGGCCCGGCCCCGTGGGCACAGACCCCGCGGCATCCTGAGCAGACCCRGGCGCTGGCCCCTTGGATCCCCAAGTCCTCGCCAGAGCTCTGGGCAGGAAGCTGCCGGGGTGAGTCCTGGGTGGCCACGGGGYGAACATCCGGGGTCTGCAGTGTCCCCCGCCCCTTCCCAGAGAGCCGAGCCCCCACGGCCCCAGGCCACTGCAGGGTTAGTCACAAAGGACACGACTCTCAGGGTCTCAGACGGCAGAGGCGTTTGCAGCGAGGTGAACGGGGGTCTCAGGGGACCCAGATCCCCAGCTGGTGTCACAGAAGGGGACAGAGGAGGCCAGGAAGGTCCCCTCCATCCCAGGCCAGTGCAATGGCCATGCCGGCGGGAAGAACCAAAGACCAAGGTTTCCTTAGAATAAGGTCTTGGAGGTGGGCCCATGGGCACAAGGGAGCCGCGAGAGCCACCGCGAGGGGACACAGGTCCTCTCGGTCCCCAGGGCTTGCTGCAGGCCATCGGTCCCCAGCTGCAGACACAGGGAGGAGGGGAGTCAGCTTCTGCAGCACAGGAGCAGGCCAGGTGAGGGCAGAGACCTCGAATCAGGGCCACGCCGTCCCTGAACCAGGGTCACGCCGTCCCTGAACCAGGGCACCATGACCGTCTAGAGGAGAAATGCACTCCCACCCTGGTCAGCCGCACGCCCAGGGCCTGGTCTGCAGGACGCCCTGAGGGAAAGGGTGGGGGGAGGACAGCGCAGACCCCGGCCCACGGCAGGCCCAGCCTGCACTGGCCGCCCCAGGAGAGTCCCCGCACCTGGCCAACCCAGGTCCCGACGGGCGCGGGTGGCAGGAGTACCACCCACAGAGGTGTGAGGCACAGGACGGTCCCCGCACTCGGCTGGAAACTCAGTCCACGGTGGCACGCACAGCTGTGGACAGGGCTCCCTGATGTGGCCCCAGGACACCACAGACAGGGACAGGGAGGTGAGGAGGTGGCCTTAGTGGGAGAGCCAGGGAGGCTTCCTGGAGGAGGCAGCAACAGCAGAAGCGGGACCTCTGTGGAGCAGCAGGGTCACAACGCAGAGCCACACCCGGAGGGTCCTCCAGCCTGCCGCCCGACCACGCCTGGGATTTCCAGGGGACAGGCCCCTTCACTGACGCAGCGTCCCTCTGAATGGCCTTCCAAGGACCCAGCTTCCCCGGCCCAGGGCTGGCCCTGCCCGTCCGGCTTCCCTGTGACCCCGGAGTGGTTGGGACTTAAAGTGCTGGTCCATTTGCCAGAAAGACAGTACCCCACAGAGGGGTGCCGCCTGTCCAGGGTMACAGAGAAGGACGGGCGCAGCCAGGGAGCGGGCTCCATCCCTGCCCAGCCGAGCCCGCAGCCGGTGTGAGGGATGGACACAACTTCATGAGGGCCCTGATTAAGGGGGAAAGGCCAAGTCCTTCCTCTGGCCTGTCCTCCTGAGTGTCCATGGAAACCCCACACCAGCCAGGACAGAGACCCCAGAGGCTCCGCTGCACCAGGGCTCCCTGCAGAGCCAACGCTGGGGCCAGTGGGCGGCCAGGGAGGAATGGTGGAGAGGCACCAGGAG